TTTTGTATGGACCTTACTGAACTGCCCCAATATGGAGGCTATTGATATATGTTGGTGCTTGTCTGAACCTTCTCATGATGGGTTGAGGCCTCACCACTTGGACAGAGACATGAGAAGTGACCAAGGTGCTGTTAAGAAACATCATCCCAAGATTCAGGCTACCTGACCCTGAGGTCAGACAACTGGCTGGGATTCATGGCTGAGATAGTCCAGAAGCTCACGCAAATGTTAAAAATAAAATGAAAATTATGTATAGCCTACCAGCCATAGAGCTCAGAAAAACTAGGACATTGCAACAGTTGTTAAAAAAATATTGCCAAGAAACCCTCTTTAGATAGGATCAAGTCTTCTATGGTCCTCCATGACACCCATACTAAAAAAACTGGGTACTCCCTTTTGAAATCTTGTTCAACTAGCTACCACCAATTGTAGATCAAACAAAGGGTGATCTTTGTGAATTAGAGAAATTGTCATTAGAAAGACAGACACAGACTTTAGAAATCACCATAAAAATATCCTTGGCTGGGTACAAGAAAAACATGTCTGTAGGTCTGATAGACCCAACACACCCCTTCCAACCTGGGGACTAGCTTAAGACATAAAATCCTCGGGATTCATATGGGATGGGCCCCACACTGTATCTTGTCTATCCCCACTGCTGTTAAAATTGCAGAAGTTGTGCCTTAGATCCTCCACATTTGGCTGAATTTAGCAGCCCAAGACAGGTGAACCAGCCGACAGGATCAAGACCAAACTGGTGAGATTGGGCCACCACCAAAAATGACAGCCTTGCTCTAGTCACTCCAGAAGCTGACTAGTCAATACATGGTTGAAGCCTGAGGAAACAACAGCCCTGCTCTGGTCATTTTGGAAGCTGAGCAGGCTACTCAGCTGAAACTTGAGGATCAACATGGAGCTGCAACAACAACAGTAAGTCTCCTCTTTTTATTATAATTCTCTCTTGCCATGCTAGAAGAAAATCCCTAAAGACATACCCACTGTATTTACACTATATGGTCAGGAAACATTACCGCAAAGTTATAGAGGACATTGCAGATGGAATTCAAAAGTTAGTTCACGTCCAAGTCCAAAGTTGAGAAAGATGGTCACCAGGCACCATCTTTGGAGGATAGTTTTTCATTGTTTCATTGGTTCAAAACCCTAATAGGGATAGTTCTGGCCACTTAGGAGCTTGCTTTATTTTTTCTTATCTTCCACCTCTACTTTCAGAAAATATTCAGTCAGCTGTAGATTCTGGTGGACAGGCACTCCATTACCTGACTAATGGTACTAACCACGTACCAACCTCTACTCAATAGGGAGCCACTCCCAAATGAGAAAATAAATGATAATGATGATGATATTAAAGCTTGTTTATAAGGAGTAGCAAAGGGAGAAATAAAGTGGGACTTGGAGAAAAGAAATTTTTTCTCTCCTCTGAGCATTGACAGTTCCTCCAAGTAACCCTCTCCATAGCTGCTGTCCATTTCTCTGTTACAGATAAGGCTAACAATTAGGCAGTGTTCTGTGATGTCCTGGTTTCTCAGGAATGTGCTTTCCTGCAAGTCCTGCTGACTTCTCTGCTGTGATGGTGGTAAGGTTGACAACGGTGTTCCTGTAAACAGGGTCCTGTGACATCCTGGAATCTGTCTTCTTTCAAGGCTAAGTTATTAAACTGTCACTGATTAATTGTCTTTGTCTCAGCTTCTACATCTCTTTCTAGTTTTGGGCCAACCCTCTCAAAAATGTATAAAAATGAGAGCTTCTCTTTTGTTTAATTCTCAACCATTATGGACAGAAATCCACTGAGCCCGGTGTATACATAATAAAGTCTGGCTATTTACCTTTGGTCTTTCTAATCCCTTAAGTTCTGTATCAAAATAACTTGTTCTGGGTCACACTGCTACTGAGTGGTATAGTGCGAGAGCTTCAGATTTCTGATCTTCTTACCTCCATAATGGATGACTTGGCACAAGGTCCTGATCTTTGAAAAGTTTTCCTGAGTGGATGAAACAGCAAGAAGCTTTAATGGCTCAGGTTTAAAATGTTCCCTCAGTCTCATTTTCCAACAGTGACTGGACCATGAAGGCACCAGATTCATCACTGAACTCAGCCACGGATGAGTGCAGAAGGTGAATGTGCTGTTAGCAAGTGGAGCCTGGTTGGAGATAGGTTACCTGCAGTGTGGCCTGGATGGGTGTATTCTTGTTCCTCGTTCCCCCCTTCTTTTTCTGCTTCCTGGCACCATGCTCTGAGCAGCTTTTCTCCCTCAGGCCCTTTCCCCATGCCATATCTCTCTTGTACAGCCATGGATGGAACCCACTGAAGCTGTGAGCCAAATAAACCATTCCTCCATTCAGGTGTTTTGTTTTGGCGACTAGAAAGTGACCACTGCAGGACCACTTAAGCAAGCGCAGCGGCACTGCTATTCAAGGATTGCAGTATAAATTAAAATGGAAAACTGAAGCATGTGTGACTGTACACAAAGATGAGGTCACATCAGCACTCAATGACAACTGTGTGGCTGAAGCAAACCGGGTTCTGTGCAAATCCTTTGCTTAGCCAATCAATCATTTCTAACAGGTACTACTTCTTGGTTGTATCTGAATTTTCCCCATAGAGACACAGCAGCTCTACACTTTCGTAAATGTTGTTGGGGAAGGTGCTGTCACTGATAACCTGTCTGTGGACCTTTCTGAGCAGATTTAATCTTGAAGTAGGGTTTCCAGATGTTCCCCAGCATGCAATTTGCAACGTGAGTCCCTGTCTTTGGCTCTGAGTTGGGGGTCGCATGGATTCTCATCATAGAATTATCCTCCTGGAGTCTGGCTTGAAGTCAGTAAAACAAACCATTCAACAAACAGAGATATCCAACATCCTTTCCTTTTGGCCAAGTTCACGTGATCTTTGATTTCTGCCCAAATCATACTTCTTGATGCATTTCCAGTGGGAATCGCAGTGGTGTTGCTTCATTTTTACATATCCACAAAATTCGTCACAGGTTGAATTTCCAGTTACCCTCAGGTGATTTTTTAAAAATGAATCTTTTTAAAAAAGATTAGTACACTCACAGCGTAGACAACAGCAACTTCCGTGCACAAGTCTGCACAAAGCTCCACTTTCCTAGTTTCTCCAGAGCCGCACACCAGCGGTACTCAATGCCTTCGGAATGGACCACAGAGCGCTCCCAAAGCAGCCTTTTCCGGTTTGCGGCGGGCAGGAGCCGCCCGGGTGTTGGGCACTGCCCTCCAGGGCGGCCCCTAACGCCTGCCCCCGGGCGGTCAGGAGTGTGGGCGGGGCGGTCCGGAGGGTGGGCGGGGCGTGTGGGTGGGTGGGGCGCCGGAAGCGCGGTCGGCTGGCCTAGCGCAACAGGCGGCGCTGGGGGCCCGGCGGGAGCCGCGGCGGGGCTCGGGATGGACAAGCTGAAGAAGGTGCTGAGCGGGCAGGACACCGAGGACCGGAGCGGCCTGTCCGAGGTGAGCCCTGCGGACGCGAGGCAACGCCAAGATCCGGGATTTCTCGGGAAGGCAGCTCTTCCGCTTTCTCTGCTGTCCCTTCTGGGGCTCGTGTGCTCCGCCCCTAGACCCTCCCCCGACACCTCGAGCGCGAGGACCGGCGGGTGGCGGCGCCCGGGGCCGCGGTGTGTGACCCCCGCCCCGGCCTAGTGCCCCGGCCTGCCCGCGTCGGGCTGCACCGCCCAGCTGTGCGCCCCGGGGACACCCAGCCTCACCCCGTTTACCTGGCTCGCCATCTCCGTTCTGGGTGCTGTCAGCGTTAGCTTTTTGTTTTCCGTCTGGAAGACACAATCACGTTTTACTTTTTGACGCGTTAGTTTTCCGATCTGTAGAAGGAGTGTGTCAAACAAGATGGAAATCTGTCTGGAAACGGGAAAGCTTTTCAACTGGAAAACTGTCTCGTCTTTCACATCGGTCGTTGTTTCTCCTGGTTTTCTCAGCCTGTTGCTCTCACCTGTTGCTTTTGTGGCTCATTTTATTCTGAAGGTTATTTTGTTTGATACTGGTTCCTCCAGCCCTTCTGAAATCTCAGCTTGTTTTTCTAAATGTACACCTCAGCGCTGTAGGAATCAAGCGCTAGGGAACTGAGGCTCTGTTTTTTAAAAGTGTATTTCACAACAGCTTGGTGGGTTCTTTATAAATTACTGCCTTTGTTCATTAGGAAGGGCTCAGAGGTGCCGTGGTTTCTTTTTGATTGATTTATCTTGTGAACCTCCTGTTGAACTTCAGAGGGGATGACAGACATGTGACACGGTGGTTGACTCTCCTTGTCTTCTAAGGCTTTGTGCTCCATAGATTTCCAGCCAGGAATGAGGAACATTCTGGGCTGAGAGAAACTTAGTGTTCTGAAGACTTGGGGTGGAGTGTTGACCATAGGACCAGCAGGCGTTGTGCATGTGGAAAGCGTGAGTGCTGTATTACAGTTTCAAAACATAAATGCTGAGTTTTTACCCCAAATAGTGAATGCCTGTGTTAGATAAATTGAAGGGCTTCACTGTTCTAAACTAGGGCAGAGGTTATATCTGCTTTATAAAGATTAGTTGCTTTTCTCATGTTCTGAAAGACTGTTGTCACTTTCCTTTTTCCATATGAGATTTCTCTGTGTGTCACACTGGGTAATACTTTTGGAGTTGAACTCCTGGAAGCGTTTTGTAGCTGACAGGCTTAGTTTTCTGGGCTTCCTTGGCTTACTCTTAACTTAGAAGGTTGGGACTTCCTTCAGTGTTAATGTGTCTCACATTTTTCGTGGTTTTGAGCTTAGCAATGCTGGAGCATTCTGTGGTGGTATTTATTTGTATGGTAAGCTAGAGGAGGTGGCCTTAAAGGTCTTCTCAGGTTCAACTGTCAACAGAAGTGCTTTGTAAAGTTCTTGGTATTTTGAAGCAAGCCATAAAACTATGAGTAATGCAGACCTACCTCTCCTAGGAGGATATAAAGGCTGCGTTTAGTCATAATTTTCTGATGTTTTCTAATTGATACTTGATGGATGTCCCTCAAGTCCTGGTTTTGGAGGATTTCCTCCTGAAAGTATAGGTTTTGGGTTTCCTGTGAAGGATTCTTGGGACAAGGAAGGTATGAACAGTGTCTGACCTTCAATCACAGAAATTAAACAGAATTCCTTTCATACCTTGTTTGGTTACCAGTCCAGTTTCCAGAATAATTCAGGCTGTACTTCTTGGCAGGAGCCCCTGTTCTTCCATATCCTGTCCTCAAAGGGATCTTTGTGCACAACTGTTGGTCAGACGGATTCTGAACACATGGCCTGCAGATTCTTTCCAGGTACTATTAGCTGTTCTAATCTGCACCCCCCTCCCAAAAAACCCAAACCAACCAGCCATCCAGTCTGTGCACTAGTACAGCTTCCAGCAACTGTGATTTAGGGAAATGTTTTTTATCAACTCAAATAAGTTTCAAAAATAAGTGTTTCGTTTCACTGAGTCCAGTTAGAAGTGTAACAGTGGCTTCTCTCTCTGACCAAGTGTGCAGGTGAAAGAACTGGGAACCACATACAGCCAGAAAACAATGGTGAAATTACCTCTTTCTCCATATTAGCAAACACATGGTCATCTTTGGATGGATACACCTTGACAGGCTTGTGGAACCAAAGTGTCGCTTTCCTTTCTGATCCTATCCTGTTAAAATTTTTTTTTTAAAGGTTGAATCTCTGAATATTTTATTTATTTATGTGTGTGTGTGTGGCCAGCTCAGCCCACCAGGGGGCGGGGCTGGCTGGCATGTGGTGCTGGGGAATTGAACCGTGGTCCCTGTGCTCTGTTTAGCTTGTTCTAAGTAGGTGCTTTAGACCACTGAGCCATCTCACCAGCCCATGAATCTCTGAATATTGCTGTTGATGACAAGCAGTGCTCAGGTACCAAATCTGATCTAACTCTGCAGCTCCTTTTTCTCTCCCTGTATGCATCTTTATTTCTGTTTTCACCCTGGCAAGGTACGTTCTTTGTTCTTGCTCCAGTGGGAAGAGGGATTAGTTTTTCATTTTATCTTGACCTTGGTTGGTTAGAAGCTTTCTAACTGTTGTTTGAGCCCAGTACTGACTGGTCACAGAGTCAGGTGTCTCATTCTGGAGCCAAAGGGAGTTTAAGAAACAGACTTCAAGGTGAAGAGGTCTTGGGCATGGAAGCAGATGTGTTCCTTTGTCTTATCCTAGCTCTGTGCTGTCCCTGAGTGTGCTTCTGTGCAGGGTCATGTGCTGCCACAAGCTCCTGCTAGTGCTGTGTACGTGTGGGATTGCAGTGTCAGGAACTCATTTCAATTTGTGTGGCCTCATGGGGGTGGGAAGAGAACTCTTTCGATGACCCACATACCTTTCTTCTGAGTGGATACAAAGCTGTAGCATATCTACCACACCCAGGGGAGCCTCTGTTCCTTCTCTTCCAGCTTCTGGTTTAACAGGTTGCAAACAGGTCCCTGAGCATCCCTTCTCTACCAACTGTTTCACTCCATCAACAGGGTGGAATATGATAGGCAATGGGGGCCACTGTGTGTGCCCAGGGGAACCCTACATGAATATTCTCAGACCTGCCTTAGGCTTGGCCTCCCACTAAAGCTGCCTGTGTCCTGGCAGAAGTATGTTACCCTCTTGCATCACGGGGATGCCTAGGAAGGTTGAGGTTTGGTTGTCATTTTTTTTTTTTTGCATTGGGAATTGAACTCAGGACCTTGTACCTTGCAGGCGGGCACCTGTGCTGCTGAGCTAGATCCCCAGCCTTGGATGCCATCTTTGACATGGTAATACAGCAGCAAACAGAAACACCCAGGATTTGGACACAGATTTTTTTTTTTTTTTTTTTTTTTTTTAATGTCGATGGACTCTGATGGGGAATTAATCCTCCCTCAAAATCTCAGGGTCTGATCCTTGGTATTTTAGGGCTTAAATAGGATAATCAAGCGGAAGTACAGAAGCAGAGTTTTTGGCAGTTATTAATTGGTTACATCTTACGTTCTCATTACTGATTGGCCTAAGTGAAAGATACATCCTATATGTCGCAAGTGTGTAAGTTCAAACTCAGACAAGCTTGGAGTTCCCAGTGGGGTGAGGCTCTGGGTTGCAGGAAGCACGTGTTTGAGATAGCATGTGAGTTGAGGGTACAGTTGGTCAGATAAGGGAAATATGTACCTGGCATTGCTGGGAGACAGGAAGACAGATCTGCTCAGGGGGGTAGCTAGTTTCACAAGTTTAACTCTTAAAAAGTTAACTCTGTATGTTCCTCCTCAGTAAAAGAACTATTAGCAGCTGCTTATGGCTTTTCTGGTCTGTATAGCTTTTCTGGAAATCTTGGTTTCTCCTGAACTTTGCTCTAGGGAGGGAACCAGAGGAATGCAGAAGGCGGAGGACCAGAGCAGTGCTGAGGCTGTCTCACACTTGGGTGATTTGCCCGAGGTCAGCACTTGCGGGGGTGGGGGGTAGCATGGAGGTCCACAGTGAGGATGCCAGGCTTTGTCCTGAGGTCCCAGAGGTGCTGTGGGAGCAGAACCCGCTGCAGCTGGGCTGCTAGACCTAAGAGAGAATGATGGGGCCCTGCCTGGTAGATCTCTGGCCTTTCCAATAGTTGTTCTCGTCCTGCTGGGTTGTCAGAAGGTTTTGGGTTACCGTAGGGCTTGCTGGCTGACCTGCCTGTTTGTAGCTGAGGCAGGAGGTCTTCACCTCTGGAGAAGCTTGTCCAGAGGCATGGGGAGCTTGTGTCACCTTTTGGAGAGAAGAAGTGACAGCTTTGACAAGAACTGGATTTGGTGAGGTCCTGTGCCTGTCACTGTATAGAATTCTATTCTCCTTGTCTTCTGCAGTACAAAATCAACAGCACTTCTAAATTTAATTTTGTGTTTCCTTTGTTTTTGGTAAATATACAACTGTAATCTTTTTTCTTTTTTTAAATTTCAGGTTGTTGAAGCATCATCGCTAAGCTGGGGTACCAGGATAAAAGGCTTCATTGCATGCTTTGCCATAGGAATTCTCTGCTCTCTGTTGGTAAGGTTTCCCTCCCCTCTTTCCCTTTCATTAATATCCTGTTTTCTTTTGCTCTTCACTAAAGTGCATGGTAGGAGGGCTGGGCATGGTGGTGCACACCTGTAATTCCAGCACCCTGGGAAGCTGAAGCAGGAAGATTGCAAATTCAAGCCCCGGCTGGGTAACTTAGCACTCTAGTAAGACCTTGTCTCAAAATTAAAAGTAAAAAAAGGGCAAAGGATGATGCTCAGGACAAAGGCTCTGCATTCAGTCCACAGTATTGTGAAAGGAAAGAAGGAAAAAAAAAAGAAAACTAGAGAGACAGTGGGAAGGGTTCCTTTGTGAGCTCCTGGGTGGCGGTGTCGTGGGAGGGTTGCTCTTGTGCAAATTGCCTGTGCTTGTTTTGCAGGGAACTCTTCTGCTGTGGGTGCCGAGGAAGGGACTCTACCTCTTCGCGGTGTTCTACACCTTGGGGAACATTGCATCAATTGGGAGGTAACCAACTTTTTACCTGATCTTCACCAGTCAGTGGGTGGATAAGTAGATGTAGATTGTGCGTGGGGGATGTGAAGGCAGCTGCTTTAGCAGTTTTGAAGATTTGGAGAAGAAAATGGTAGTCGGAATGTATCACAGTTGTGCATATTATTTCACAATATTGTATGTCTTCAGTTGTCTTGGGATACCTAGGGAGAAAGCAGGAGAAATGCCTTACCGCTGCGACCTGTCATAGGAAAGAGTGGTGGCCAGGGCATCTCGGTGGATTCCCTTTTTCTAGTCTTGCTGGCCTCAGAGCCCAAGTGGGTGGTTCTGAAAGTGCTCACCTGATGATTCGTTAGTGTCTAACCCACCCAGATACAGCATCAGCTCATCCGGCAGCTATTGGGTAGGTACTTCCTGGGGTAGCAGCGTTGTGTACACTGCAGACAACACAGGTCGAGCTCATTCACTCTGAGGCTTTCCCCCACCCAACCCAGCATGTCCAGCCACACCTCTCCAGCTGGCTGTGCCGGCCTGGCCTCTGCCTGCATGACCGCAGCAACCTAAGCTTGGTAGTCTTGGATCTCTAAGTGGCGCAGAAGTCTGGGGGTCCAGGTTGCCTTGCTTCCCATGGCTGCTCCTCAAGGCTGGGTGTTGACCTTGGTTATCTTGGCCTCATTTTCTTTCTCTTTGTCCCCTTGGCCATTTGTTCCTCATTGATTAGCTTTGATGCTCATCGGGGTTTATGCTGCTGGGCTGTGAGGCCACCAAGATAAACAGGGCTCGTCCCCTGCCCTGGGGAGCTTACTAGCCAGCTGGGCAGCAGGCAGCTGTGCAAACTGGATGCCCAGGGAGGGACAGTTAGTCCCACCTGGACAGAGTCAGGCAGGGCATCCTACAGAAGGTGATATCTGAGTGGTCTTAGCTGTGGCCCAAATCCCTCTCTCTTGAGACCCTTCAGCATCCCTTGGCTGGGTTTCACTGCTTCCTTCATTCCCATATCCAGGCCCTTCCTGCTGAGCCATGAGCTGCTCAGCCACAGCCCCTGGACTGGCCGGATACTTGCTCATCTTCTATCTCTAAGTGGCACGGAGTCATCAGGCTCAAAAGTCAAGACCAGGCTCAGAAATCACCTCTTCCAGGAAGCTTTTCTTGAGTACTTCCGCTTCTGCGCAGTTGATAATCACCTCCCGTAGGGTATACTTATGTGACAGTGCACGTAGCATTTTAGTAAATATGTATCTATAGGTCATTTGACAAGGGCTGAGCCTGGCTGTCCCTTGTCCCCAGTGGTAACCCAGAGTGAGCTCTGTGTCTGCTGAAAATATCAAACACATGGTTGAGTTTATGAATCCTCACCTTTTTGAAGTTAATTTATTAGTATGTGCTGGCCCTCTGAAGTCTCTAATGTTGCTTCTCCAAGTTTCCCAAGTACTAATTTTGGGGCAGTTTGCTGTGGGCACAGTGTAGATCGACTGTGTGGTCTAGACTGAGCATAATTACACAGTACGTACAAAGTCCACAAGACTTGTAGCAAATCCTAAGGGAATGCACTTTTCATAGTGCTGGGTAGGAAATCATACAGGGAGGGAGTGGGTATTTTTCTGGGAGTAACTAGGGGTTTGTGGCCTTACTTGTAGTCTGTAACTTTTTTTAGTATGTATGTTACACTTAATTTTTTATTTAAAAATTTGTATGAATATATGTTTGGAGTACATAGTAATTCATCACAGGGACTTGTTACATGTATGTGACACATTAATTCTCTTTCTTCCTCTTAGCTGTGTGACCTGGGAGAAGTAAACTAACCGTTCTGATCCTCCTTTGTGCATGTCTAAAATAAGTACAATGTAATAATGCCTAATTCAAGCAAGGTGTGGTCGTGTACCTATGTAATGCTAGCACTTGGGAGGCTGAGGCAGGAAGGTTGCCACAAATTTGAGGCCTACCTGGACTACTTAATGAGACTTTGTCCAAAAAATAAATAAATAGCTTAACTCAAAAAGTTGTCAGTGGCTGAAATGAATAATATATGAACAGTGATATTTGTTATTTAGCAAATACTTGACAAATATTAGACAACATTGTCATTAAAATCACTCTCTGAAGATTATGAAAGAAAATGAAATGCTCTGCTTTTTAACACCTTCAACCTGAGCCTGTGTTTTCTTCTTTTTAAATTACTTGAGCCTTTTGGTTTTTGGTTCCCAATGGGAGATTGTCAAGGACGCAAGGTGGCCCCTCAGGGGACGTCATTGAGCCATGCTCTGAGCGTGACCCATGCTGTGTAGAGCCAGCGCACCTGCCGTCCGGCTCTGTCTGTATTGCTCTGGTAGCCTGGATTTGTAACCTGCTATGTGGGTCCTCTTCTGAAAATGTAAGAGGCTACCAAAATGTATGGTGAATGCTTAAATAAAAAAAAACTGTCGAAGTGAAAGATGCACTGCTATTAATCCTCAAGTCCTCCCCCTTCCTTCAACACGCCTGTTCCATCTTTCTTGCCACTTTCTGAAACCATTCTGGACAACTTCTCTTGTGAGTGACTTTAGTTGTGCAGTCAAGGCTTCCTTGATGTCCTGAATTGATTTAAAAAATCTTGCCATTTTCTGCCAAATATAAATATTACAGAGCATTCTTACCCCCCTAATTCACTGGATTTGGCACCATGTGACTTGGGGCCAAAATAAACATGAGCAGCTAAAGACATGAAAGAGGACTTCCTGCACTCCTTGGCAAGAATCATGGGATAGGTGTGTTGGAAGTGAGGAGGATTCATGGCAATGTGTCTTTTACTACAATGAATTAAAAAAAAAAAAAAAAACCAAACATTCAGCGTACCTTTTGGTCACACCCCATGAACACACCATTGATGGAGTAGATGAAGAGAAGGCAGAGAGGTCCAGGAGCACAGTGCCTGGCCCGAGTGTGCACTGTTCACACACACGTTAGCAGCTGCTGCTGCTCTTCCTGCTGCAGGCGCCCTGGGGGAGGTGTGTGATGCGCCCGGGCTGGCTCCACTCTGCTCTGAGCTGCTGCACGTGTGTTTGCCTCCTAGCACCATCTTCCTCATGGGGCCCATGAAGCAGCTGAAGCGCATGTTTGAGCCCACACGTCTGATTGCCACGGTCCTGGTGCTGGTGAGTTCTGCTTTTCATCTGTGTTTCTCGTATGGGAGTTTTTGTTTGTGCTGCATGGAATTTTTCCCCCTCTTAAACCTAAAGACTCCCTTTTCATCCGATCTTTCTTCATCTTATCCAATCCTTGAAGCCCTGTGGCAGAAGGGAGCATTTTTTTCATTTAACATTCAACCTTGTCTGCTTTCCAGCCTTTGTTTTTTTGGTGTCAAGACTGCCAGTTCCATAAAGCAGCTGCAGAGGGGGTTGCTGGTCACATTTCCCAACCCACATGGTTATAAGAGCTTGGACACCTTCCTGTTGGAGCCAACCACAGGCGGAGCTTTGATGGGATAACCCAGAAACACTCAGAGAGGCTTTTTCCCCCATATCATTATTTGACTTTGAGAAGTAGTTACTCATTTTTTGATCAGTCTTCCTCTACCCTTGTGCCCTGCTCAATAATAGCACTTTCAGTGTGGCTATGTGTTCCTCTCTCATCAATCCAGAATGCCTCTCCCATTTTTGAAAAGTCTTCCATGTGGCTGTCAAAATAATTTCAAACTCTATTCTCTGACTCTTGGTATAATTATAAGCATTGAAACATTTGGACAACATACTTGGAGTTCATTGTATACAGCTCAGTTGTTCAAGTAGGTATATTCTCCAGAGCTATGATCTTGTGTGCTGTTGGTTTTGTGTCAACAAGGACATATTCTGGACTTGCTGGTTATGTGGTATCTGTTATTGATGGGTAGAGCTGGAAGGCACAGGTGGTGGCTCAAACTCCAGCTGTTCTTGGGTAGACGAGAGTCTTGCAGAAAGAGCTTTCTAAGAAAGGACTTAGAGAAAGTATCAGGTGACATGTAAACAAGTATCTGGCTTGCTGACTGAGATTGACATCTCATGTTGACCTTTGACCTCACATGCCTTTTCACACTAGAGACTGTGCTTGGCAAGCGTTAAAATATAGAGGCAAAAAAAAAAAAAAAAAAAATACAGAGGCCAGGTTGGCCAGATAACTCAGCGGATTAAAGTGCCTGCTTAGGCAGACACAGGGACTGGGGTTTGATCCCCAGTGTGCGATACTGGCCCTGCCCCTGGGGCTTGCTGAGACAGCAATTGAGACTGGGCATGGGGGTGCATGCCTGTAATCCCAGCAGTTGGGAGGCTAAAACAGGAGGATCACTACGAGTCCAATCTGTGTAGAGACCCTGTAGACCCTACACTAAATACATTTTAAAAAACCCGAAAACATAAAAATAGAGGCACGTGTTAAGCTTGCTTTAGTATGTCTGCATGAAAGATGGATGCCCAGTATGAGGAGATCGCCAACTGCAGCTGGGCCGAGGCTGAGAGCATGTACCAGATCAAGTATGAAGAGTTGCAGACTCTGGCTGGGAAGCACGGGGATGACCTCGGCCGCACCAAGTCCGAGATCTCTGAGATGAACCGCAGCGTCAGCTGCCTGCCGGCAGAGATTGAGGCCCTCAGAGGCCAGAGAGCATCCCTGGAGGCTGCCATTGCTGATTCTGAGCAGCGTGGGGAGATGACCATTAAGGATGCCAATGCCAAGCTGGCCCAGCTGGAGGCTGCCCTGCAGAAGGCCAAGCAGGACATGGCCTGGAAGCTGCGCGAGTACTAGGAGCTCATGAACATCAAGCTGGCCCTCAACATTGAGATCGCCACCTGCCACAAGCTGCTGGAAGGTGAGGAGAACAGGCTGGAGGCTGGGATGCAGAACTTGAGCATCCACACGAAGACCACCATTGGCTACGCAGGAATGATGAGCTCACCCATATGGGGGCCTCATGAGCCCTGGCTTTGGCAGCCTCCAAAGACCTGGCTTCACCCGCACCAAGTCTGCTGTGGTTGTGAAGAAGATTGAGACCCGCGATGGGAAGCTGGTGACTGGGACCTCTGATGTCCTGCCCAAGTGAATGGGCCAAGCAGCCTCTCCAGCCGGCACCTCTCTCGAGGCTGTCCCAGAGCCTGTGGGGAGACAGCTGTACAAGGGAGCATTGGGAGCAAGAGACCCACCTGAGGCCCAGCTTAGCCCTCAGCCCACCCTTGGGGGGACATTATTTTTTCCAAAATAAAGCCTGGTTTTGCCACCTGAAAGAAAAAAGATGGATGGATGAATATGCGGGCAAGAAAGGTGATTTTGTTATCTTTCTCTTTAATCAGCACTATTAATTAATTGGGCTCATTCTATCTCATGAGGATTTTAACTCTTGCCAATCGTGGTTGCACTGCTGGCTTACATGCTATGAGTCAGGCTCAGTTGGTCTTCATGAAACTCGTAAGACTGATTACTGCATCCTTCATGAGTGTGCTGTTTGCTAAGAGTTAGGGTTTTTAAAACAATTCAGTGTCATGTGCTAATTAGTGTTTTCTCTCCCTCTAGTTGTGCTTTACACTTACCTTGTGTTCTGCCTTTTGGGTAAGTATATATTTTAATTATCCATAACCTCTTTAGTATATTCCCCACGTCACCTATTTTCCTGTAACTGTGTCATCTTTCTTTTCAGTGGCATAACAAGGGACTTGCGCTCATCTTCTGTATTTTGCAGTCTTTGGCCTTGACGTGGTAGGTAACCTTTTCAGCAGACCTCTCCACATTTGCCTCTGACTAATGCAGCGGAAGGGAATAGAAACCAGTGTGCTGGCCAGATAGGGGAGGATTAGCAAAATGCAGAAGCTTTTCAGGTTAAGAGTTCTCTTGTTGTCAGGGAAGTCTGGCTCCATAGCAAAGTCTGCCCACCAGCAGGGGGCATCCGTGGTATCCAGCAGCCAGAGGAGGCTGTGCCCAGGGCTTTTATGCTGAGGTCATGAGTGATTCTGAGATGTACAAATGTTATTCAGCCACTTATGTCCCATAAGTGCAGGGGCATTCAGAGTGTTGTTAGGGCTGGTACAAAGAGGCTGTGAGTCAAATAGACATTAACAAAAACAGGGCAGTGGTAAGATAAATAATGAATGTCATCCTTTGATGGAATGAGTCACTTAACAGAAAGACAAAGGGGACTGTCAGGAAGGGAGGAGGAGCCCAGGCTGACGTGGGATGCCATCCCACGCTAGCTGTGGGCTGCGGGAGCAGTGCATTCCCTGCAGGCCGTTAGTGAAGACAGGAGATTGTAACTCAGGGCCAAGCCCAGGCTGCAGATGTGGGTTTCCAAACCTTTGAATGGAGCTTCAGGTTCAGAGGCCCATTAGGTTGTTGCAATGTCAGAGGTAAAGGGAAGAGGCATGTGTGGAATCTGTAGCTTCTGAGACATTTCCGTGATACTCTCACTGTTCATTGAGGGGTGTTTCTGCCAGAAGGGTCTCAGGATAGCTGTAATCGATCTGTTCTGTGAAAAAAAATTTTGTTACAATGTGAGGAAAAAAGAGGATGGTAGAAGTATCCAAGTGGCCGAGGATCAGTGGACTCCAGTTTGGTATAAGTGGCTCTTAAGCTTGGAAGTTGAACGCCCACCCTTCCTTGAGTATTGCTGGACTTTGAGTAGATATACTTCCAAAATACCTCTTGGAGTTTACCTTGTTTACAAGTAAATGAGCTTCCGTACATGGTAAATGTGAGGTCCAGAGAAGCGTGACGGCCTGATTGTAGTATGACACAAACATTTTGATAGAAGGTGCCAAAACGGCCTGCTTTCATGGCTACATTCATTGTTTGGTTTTCTTCAGGGTACAGAAATGAGTACTTGTGTGCATGTGGCCCTATTTGCTTATAGAGTGATTGTGCAGCTGGTTTTGAAGGATCCACATCTGAAGGGGCATAGTGAGATGTCTCCCCTTCACCTCCAGCATATTCTGACTCTGCTTTTTGGTGTTGACTGCCTGGGTCTTGTCTGACGCACAGGGCCCTGCTCTTTAGAGTGGTCAAGTGGTGCTCATCATAGTGCCCTTTAGGCCGTGTTGCTGAACTAACTGGGATTTGCCAAGGCACCTCTGGGCTTGAGCTCTTCAAGAATTGTAGCTCAGTTACATTTTAATTCATAGAGTACTTGGAAGCCTTTTTTTTTTTTTTCCTTCTAAAATTAAAAAGAGTAGAGCAGAAAACTTACTGTAATTGGGTTGAAGTTAACTTTTAGTGAAGGTTTATAGAATGTTAGACGACAGGTGTTCTGGGTTTTATTCGTAGTTGTTTCAGAAGAGCGTTCCTGTGCCCCCTGGATAGCTGGACGCTGCCTGTTTTGGGTGGTCACTACTGGTTAAAGCAGTGCCCTGTGGGAGCTGAGGTTGATCAGGCTACCTCTGTAGTGGCCTTCTACTGCCCTCTGTGGCCATCTGGCATGCAGTGTTGTTAGTGTGCATGTGTGTGTGCATGTGTGTGCGCACCCCACCCAGGCAGGACGGGCAGATCTGAAGGAATCAGTGCAGGTCTTCGGAGCTCAGAAACCTGTTCTGTTGGGTGATCTTCCATAAGCCCTGCATTCAATTTGATCTCGTTTGCTTTTTTTTGTAGGTATAGCCTTTCCTTCATTCCATTTGCAAGGTAAGAGAATATTTGGAAATATATTTCTATCATTTGTGGATAACAGCATGTTTACTTAGGTCCTTTTAGTTAGAGAGTTAGTTTCAGAGTCTGTATATTATTTGTGTTTACTAAAATGCCTAGAACCAAATAGGCAAAGGTTATGTATCTATTTTATATATTTGCAAGCTAAGGGTCACCCTCTCACTCACCATAATTATATAACGCATGCTGGGTGTTGACCAGGCTACCAGTTCCTGGTTTGGGGAACATTCTCCTGTATAGTAAAGTGTATGTATGTGCCCCTTATCACTCTTTCAACCCGTGGCTTTGAGTTGGCTTTTTCTTTTTCTTTTAAGGTGAGCATCAGCTAATATCACTGAGAAAGAGATGGAGGGATCTCAATTCATACTTGCTCTTTTGCCAAATCCTACTTAGGGAAAAGTTTCAGATGATTTGAGAAGGGGAAAATAAGTGACTCTGGAGGGCAGGGCTTCTAATTAGCAGCGTGGCCTTGGGCACCTTTCCTGACCTCTCAGACCTCAAATGAGATTGGATTAGACCCTCCCTCCAGGGCTCTTCCAGCTCAGAGGTTGTGATGCTGTTAGCTTTTTAAGGAGTTTTTGTTTGTTTGTTTGCTTCGGGGTGTGTGTGTCTCTGTGTTCTCTCTCTCTCTCTCTCTCTCTCTCTCTCTCTCTCTCTCTCTCTCTCTCTGTGTGTGTGTGTGTGTATGTGTGTGCGCGCTGGGAATCCAACTTAGGATCTTGTGCCATTGAGCTATATGCCAAGCCCACTACAAGCTTTTTTAAATAGTACTTTTCATGAATGGGCTCTCACAGTTAGCTGCTTGGTTTTGCCTCTGTTTTTTCTTTTATATATTTGGTACAGAGTCTCACGCCACAGCTTGGACTGGGAGTGATCCTCCTGTTTTAGCCTCCCCAGTGCTGGGATTACAGGCGTGCGCCATCAGCCTGGACTCTGTCACCAGCAAGGCATACAGGACTGGGGATCAAACCCTCGTTCCTGTGCTTGCAAAAGCAGGCGATTAGTCTGCTGAGCTATCTCGCCAGCCCTTTTGCCTCTGTTTTAATACAGCCATTTAATTTCCATTCCTCTCTGTCATGATCTTTTAACTAAAAAGCTTTTCCTTAATTGAGAGAGCTCATGCATGAGCTGGGGAGCAGGGAGAACAATCTTGTGTATTCCAAGTCTGTTGCTGACTCACTGGAAGGTGCTGGGGGGTGACTGATTAGAGGAGAAGCTGACAAGCTGTCACGTTAAAGGCAGTTGGTAGGCTTGTGCCTAGAGCCTAGGACCTTAACACCTGTGAACTACTCCTTGTAGACCTTGCTGGTTTTAGGGGTGGTAGCTTGTTTGAGAACACAGGCAGGGCTGTCCCTGGAGCTAGTGTTTATGGAAGTGAACCGGAGCCCCTCAGATCTGACACCCAATGAGGTGAGTCCTGACCCACCAACATTTTGAATATACCTTGTTACCTGAACCAGCAATATAATTTGCAGAATTCAGTGCAAAAGAAAAATGTGGGTCTCTTGTTTAAAAAAAATTAAGAATTTTAAGATGAAAGTACACGGTCTGTTACACGGTCTTAGCCATTGCACAGGCCTCTCCTGCAGAGCAAGGCTTGTTGTGTATCTTCTTGGCTTCGGGCTTAATCTGGCTTGCCACGTGTAAACTTTGTGTGTAGGAGGGATAGGTAGGGTAATATAAATCTGTTTCAAGTGATGAGAACTGTGGGCTGAGCAGATGAAAAATTATTATGATGAGCAATCACCAAACTAGATTTTTTTGGTCGTTTTGAGATAGGGCCTCACTGTGCAATTCAGGTTGCGCTTGAGCTCACTTTCAGCCTTGAGCCCAGGCTGGTCTTGAACTCTCAATGATCCTCCTGCTTCGGCCTCTCAAGTGCTGGGATTACAGGTGTGTGCTACCATTCCTGGCTGTGAAGCTAGATCTTACTCATTTCATATGTAGCTTCTCCTACTGGAGCTTTTTCTGCAGTACTCACTTGTTTATATGGAAGAAATGGCTCTGTGATTAAGTTTGGGAAACAGGTTAAGCAAGCTTAGATAGGACCCATTTGTGCGGGTGTCCAGATCTTTTAATGGGCTACCTGAGCTGCCATGCTGGGGCTGGTGGTTGGCTATAAAACCCTTCTTGGGCTGTGTTTCTCCACAGTCATGCAGCTCATGACTCAAGAGATGCCACCTCAGAGTCATCTTGATACTACTGTAGGACAGCAGCTGCTCAGTGCAGCGCAGTCACTTACTCCTCCCTGCCTTGATGGCAGGCACAGAGCTGGCCTGAGCACCCCATGCCGTGTTACACAATAAGGTGCCCTAGAGGTGAGAGGCTTGCTTGGGCAGTACTGCCCCCTGCGCTGACTCCCACAGAGTAAATAGAGCCTGTTCGTCATTGCTCAGTACCTGTGCTGGGGAACTCCTGAAAAATGTCCTTTTTTTGTTTTTTTGGGTATGGGGATGAACTCAGAACCTTACACTTACCAGGGAGATGCTTATGCTGCTGAGCTATCTCCTGCACCCTAAGATGTCCTTTGAAAGGCTGCTGCTGCCTGCTAGGAATGAAGAGAGTCCAGTGACAGTATGACTTCCTGCTTTCAGCTCACTGTGTGATTGTGACTGCTGATAAAGTGCGGCAGTCCTGACTCATTTATTAACTTCCTTCCCATCTTCCTATTTATTAAATAACGAGGGGTGAGAGAGAACCTCTCCTCTGACAGGTGAGGAATTTGAAACTCAGACCAATCATTTGCCCAGAAGAATTGTGGGCATAAGCATTGAAGCTGCAGTTGGGTGCAGTAGGTCTGACCTGACTGTCCAGTGTGCTATTTATTCTCATGTCCCACGCTCAGGGTTGGAGCCTTTGGGTGGGTGAAGATGACCCATTCATTCTCGTGTTTTTCCTTCCTAGGGATGCTGTGAAGAAGTGTTTCACTGTGTGTCTTGCCTAGTACACCGACAGTTTTCTAAAGCTGTGAAGGCACCGTGACCAGAAGCTGGCGGTCAGCTTTGTAAATACCCTCTCAGCCTTGTACAGCCTGTGCCTTCTCTCTCACACTAGTGTGCTGCAACTTGAGCATTTAACGGTTGCCTTTCAAGCAACAGTAGGTTCCCAAACCCAGTGTCTCTGATGCCCTATGAGAGGGGGGTTCTGTGTCTTACAGAATGGAATGTTCTTCTCATGGCTGTTTTCTCTTGGGATGCTATCCCACTGAATTCTCAGAAATAAAACTTGCTCAACAGCCAGAGCCAGTGGCTCCCAGGTGGACATAGGCACTTCCATCGGAGATTACAGGGGTGCAGCAGTAAGGGACAGAATTTTGGAGTCAACATGGACTTTGTGTAATTGTCCATCAGTGTGGAGGCCACTGCCACCTCCACCGAGCCTGGACATGCTGCTGCCCTGGTGTCCAAGATTGAGGGATTCTGCCCACCTCAGGCTGGGAGCAGCCTAGCCGAGGGGTGCAGTAGAAAATAACAGTTCTGGTTGATTCGTGTTCTTTTCCAGTGTGGACCTGTGGTCTCCTGCAGTTGGGAAGCACACCTGACTGTGGAATGTGTTGTCTGGTGTTGAGCATAGCGACTTTTTCTCTTGTCCTGGGTCCCACCCATGCATGCTCATCTTTATGACCTCCTGTCTCTAGACTGAAAGAGAACAAAGCTGCACAAAACACTACTTCCTTTTGGACAGGAGCTGAAAGGAGGTGAAAAATCTTGCTGCTCCCTCTTGTACCCTTTTCTCTTCGTTATTTATAAACGTTTGCTTTCAAATCGTATTTTCCAATCTCCCCTGGACTCAGGCCAGGGGAGAGTGGGTAGGATGACAGATCTCTGGTGTGGGCCAGCAGGAAGTGGCCACTCTTGCCTTTGACCTCTGAATAGTCTCAGCATTTGACCCCAGGCTGTGAGGACATTCATCCGCAGGAGGTCACTTTGTAGCCTTATGCCTGGCCTCATACACAGTGCTTTTCCATCCCCAGCCTTACCTGGTTGTCACAAGGCTCTTCCTCTTGGAATAGCCAACCTTGGAAGCCAAGACTTAGGAAGCAAGGGTTGTCACCTTGCTGTGCTTTCAGGGACACTAAAGCCTGAGTTTGTCTCCATATCCACCAAAGCCACAGCTGTGGACAAGTTGAGCCCACAGTCAGGGCCTGCAGCTTAGCCTTCTTATGACTGTATTTTGGCACATTTCTGATTGTCCCTGGGTAACCTTGTGGAACTCTTTTTCTTGTTGCTCTCAGCCTAGTTTGTGTCTTCTCTGGTTCCTGTCTTTACGTTCGCTTGTGCCGTCTCCTACGTGCTCTTGCCTCCATCTCCTTTTTTGGTAGCTGCCTCCTGGTCTTGTAGAGGGTTCATTATTCCTTGTGTTCCCTTTTAGCTGTACCACTGCAAATGGCACATGAGAACATCTTCCAGCTACATGGAACCACTGGTGAATATGCTCCTTGCCCTGGGCCTTGCATCTGAGCTTGGCCTTGGGAAGGTCACTTCTCCACACCTGCAGCCTCTCCCCTTTCACCAAGCTCGGAGCTACCTTGCTGGCTCCCAGCCAGGTTAGGAGCTAACTCACTGCCTCCTCTCTGCTTCACTAGCTGGAAGGCCCCTCCCTTTGCAGAATGAGCTTAGGGGGAGCCTTCGGTTCTCCTGCGCCTCTCTGTGGTCACCTCAGACCAGCTCAAGGTGTCTCGTTTTTGCGAAGAGTGACACCTGGCCCCCCAGTTTAGCGTTTTCCTGGTGTGCTGATCTCAGTGCTGGAACATCTGACCGTCACCCTTGAGTGGTGACTTGCGTTATATCGGTCTGACTGCCACTTCCCTGCCACCTAATCACTGTGTGCTGAGAGAAAGAAAAGAAGTGCATTCCTAATAAAATTATTTTTGATATGTCCTTAGAATGATTAATAAGTGAAGCACACCTCTCAAAAGTGTAGAAAATCTGGCTTCTGCTTCTGTAGCTTAAGTGACAAGACGTGGTGACCTGGGAAATTGAAACACAGCTCTGTGTCTGGACTTGATGTCCCATGGCAGGGGGTGCAGGCCTTGCTTATCTTCTCTTTTGTCAGATAACTTCCTTCTGTCTGGACTCCACTGCAGAATTATGAATACTATAAAATTCACAGCCTAGCTTAAAGTGTCTAGAAACTTAAAAAGTAATCAGTGTTTAAAGGTACATTAAGCAATATGCTAGGATTTTTGGCACACTTTTTAATATTTAAATATCTAGGATGTTTTTGGTACATAACTTGCAGTAGTTTACAGATAGCATTTAGAAAACATGAATAGACAGACCTTCAGTGGAAATTAAATACAGATTATATCTGTAATTCCTAATCTCAAAAAACCCCACTAAAAATCTAAATTTTGTGGAAATTTGTCTTAAAATTAAGAGGTGGTCTTAAAGTATCTCCAGACTCCCACTTCCATGAAGTTCTGAGACCTCGTGTGTTTTTAATCTAGTGATTAAGTGAGTGGTGGAATTCATTTGATCCCAGGTTAGCCATGACAGGGTTTTTGGTTGCACTTTGGTCTCTCCAGTTCTACCCAGCTGTGTAGGTGCTGCCCAGCACCTGATACTCCGGCTTTGCTCTTGCTGCTCAGGTTTCCGCTGCTGTGGGGCGAATGGGGGGTAGCAGAGGCTTTGTTCATGCAGATTGACAGAATCAAATCACATCCTTTCCAGCCAGAATTGGAAAGTGACACTAGGCTTAGAAATGTACCAAATGATTTTCTAGCAACAGTTTTTGGCTTTGGTGCTGGAGATTGAACTCAGGGCCTCATGCATGCTAGGCAAGCGCTCAGCCACTGCACCTCACCCCGCGCCCTGAAAATGGTTTGCTGTAAATAAGCGATCGGAAACCAGGAAAGGAGTTCAGTGGATGGGAATAACTTTGCTATTGGAAGTCGAAGTTCATTCCACAGCATTGTAACAAGCAATAATGATGTATATAGTCACAATAAAGTAATGCAGCTATATTAGTAAACAGCCACCAAAAGACAAATCAACAAGAAAAGGACACACTGTCTTTGATCTAAGTAGGCTGGCAGCCTGGACATGACCTTGTGAAGCATTCTCTGAGATCAAAGGGAGGTTGGAATCTGGGTCAGCGCCGAGCTTGCTGGAGGTCGCCGCTACACGTGGAAGTGAGCCTGGGTTAAGTGCAAGTGAACTTTAGTGTTTGAGTAGTGTCCTAAAGGAGAGCTGTAAATTACATTCAGCTTTGTGGTCTCTCTTATGAAAAGTGTTCATTTTATCCTTTGCCCTTAATATATTGCTTGATTTAACAAACTAATAAGGAAAGGAAAAAAATAATGCTCTGAATTTTGATCTTATTAAGAGCCTCTGGTGAATTTGTACAAACATTGTGCCTATTGAATGTGATGAACTTTTAAAACACTTTGTTAAAATGAGTCAGTTTTTTATAATTGTATAGATGCAGCTAATTTTGAATGCTACTGATTGCATAATTAAATTTTTGTATCATAAAATATATTCTTGAGTACAGTTTGTCCTACTTTGTGAATCTATTTCATATAATATTTTCTTTTTACTCATATCAAAGATAATGTTGCTGGTAATTAAGCTGTCTCTCCCCTCCATTCTATCATAATTACTATTTTTTTGCTTTTTTCTCTCCTAATAAATGGTAGTATGCTAATCTTTAATCTGCTGTTGTCTTATTCATATGTATTTTTTTCTGGGAATCAGTAAGCCAAATAAAAAGTGTACAATCACCAACAGAATGAAAAGACAACCCACAAATTGGGGAAAAAAAATCTTAACCAACCATCACTCAAACAAAGGTCTTCTAGAATATTTAAAGAACTAAAAATCATCAGGCCCCAAAATTCAAAAATGGGCACCTGAGATGAATACACACTCCTCAGAGGATGAAATACAAGTGGCAGATAAATACATGGAAAAAGGTTCAAGAGCACTGGTTATTTGAGAAATGTAAATTGAAACAACGTTGAGCTGCTATCGCACTCCAGAAAGAATGGCTGTCATAAATCAGCTAATAAATGCTGGGGAGGCTGTGGGGGAAAAGAGACCCTTTTCTACTGTTGATGGGAATGTAGACTGGTACAACCACTATGGAAATCAGTGTGCAGGATCCTCTAAAAACTAGAATTGGAGGCCCATTCACCCAGCTATTCCCTTTCTGGATATTTTTCCAAAAGAACTGAAAAACATACCACAGTGATGTATGTGCACCCATGTTTTTAACAGCATAACTTGCCATAGCCAAATCTTGGAATCAACCAAAATGCCCATCACCTGAGGAGTAGGTAAAGGTATTTTTATGCAATGGAGTATTACTCAGCTATGAAGAAAGAAACTTGAGGCCTTTATAGGTAGATGGATGCAACTAGAGGCTATACTCGTAGGTGAAATGAACCAGACCCACACGTGTAAATATATTGCCTCCCTAGTATACAAATTTGAAAGAAAATCTGGAAGGTAAAATACAGTAAAATGGAAATAAACAGTGTAAAGAATAAAGATGAGGGAAAGAAAAAATAGGAAAAAAAGAGAAAAATGGAAGTATATATACAAGATAGCTGAGAATTGTATTACTAATTTCTGTTAAGTATTTTAAAAATATTTAAAATTTTCACTTTGTCTAACTATAGGCTAATAGCTTCAATCCGAGCAACTACATTGCAGAGAACAATGTAATATAAAACCATGGTTGAATACCTCTCATCTTGTTCTAAATGTGTACCATTTCTAATGTTTTATCAATTACTACTATACTCTTTAAAATTAATAAAAAGGTCAAGAAAAACTTATTAATATCTATTGAAATCAAGTGTTGATGTTCAGCTAATTGTCCAATCTTGCAAACCTGTATCTGTTAATCTGAGCAACAGATTTGACAAAAATGCTCAGTATAACAACCATTGTTAATCTACTTTCAGTTTGAAAATAGGTACCATATGTGGTGTTGTATATTACTGTGTTTCTGTCTTTGTTTTTGCCTTTACTCTTTAAAGTACAATGAGGAAAAACCATGTTTTTAATTTGAATTTTTCATGTATAATCCACATTGTAGTCATTTAAGATTTTTTTCCCCCTAAATTGATATGTATCCTCTTTTTTTCAAATGAGTTGAAGTTGGACATTGGCCTAAAGACAAGGTAAGACATTTACTTGTGTTTATTTTAGAGTATTTTTGAAAACCTAACCTTTTTTTTTGACACAGCATCTCATGCAATTGAGGCTACCCTTGAGCTCGTTTTGTAGCCCAGGCTGGCCTCATACTTGCAACAGTCTTCCTGCCTGAGCTTCCAGAGTGCTGGAATTACACGCATGCACCCCACTCCCAGTCTGGTTTTGTTATTATGTATAAGATAGGTTGTCAAGTTAATTGGCACAAAAGTTTGTAATATTTCCTTATACTTTTAATATCTGTGTTTTTTATTTCTCTTTTCATTGCTATTATTTATACTAAAAGAAAAGCAGATTAGTTCAATAATAAAATTTAGTTGAGGAAAAAAAATTGTAGGACTGGGCAACATCCCAAAGATGTACCCCGGGTACTTTGGATGTATCATTCCAGCCCGAAGAAAGTGACACAGAATCAACTTGATTACCTGTGATATATGTGTATGCCTTATATGAATATGGTTTGACTACTAGGCAGACTGTGATTGGCTGAAAGTTGCTTGGGTATAAGGATACTTTCAGGTTACAGGTTGTTTACACATTAAGCTAGGGTATGGTTTGCTATGTATGGAGACTGTTTTGGGTCAAACTTAGTGATCAAGTTTAGAAGCTGGTTTAGGCTAGGTCAATTCAACACTGGTAATTTAAGTCATCTTTTTTTTTGCACGATCACTGTAACTTACTTGTCACAGTTTAAACTATATTAGCTGAATGTTGTAAATTTTGAGAGGATTTGTTTATATATTAATGCAGTTCAAAATATTTTATTTTCCTGTAACATGGCCGACCCATTGATTATTTACAATTGTATTTAATTTCTAAACATTTGGGAGATTGTTCCAGATATCTGCTGGTTTTTAGTTTAATTTCATTGTAGTCAGAGCAGATATTCTAAATGATATTAATCCTTTTAAATTTGATGGGACTTCCAGGTTTGCTGGCTCACACGTGTAATCACAGTGCTTGGGAGGCTGAGCTAAGAAGATCATGAGAAATTTGAGACCAGCCTGGACAACAAAGAGTTCAAGGCCAGCCTGAGCTGCATAGGAAGAACCTGTCTTTAAAAAAGAAAAAAAAAAAAAAAAAGATCACAAATGTATTCAATGGACTTGCTTTATGACTTGGCTAAGATAACATCTTAGTCTATTTTGGTGAATGTCCCATGTATGCTTCAAAAGAACGAGTTCTGCTGCTACTGGGTAGGGTGTAATTATTAGTTTACTCACACTGGTAGGTAATGTTCATGTTCTAACCTTGCTGATTTTCAACCTACTTTATCAGTTGTTGAGAGAGAACAGTTATAGATTTTTATTTAAATATTTCCTTTACCATTCTTGCAGTTTTATCTTCATGTATTTTGTATCTCTGCTGATTTATTGTGGCACCCTGAAAAACTGGGATTGATTCTACCCAAAATGTGGTTTGATGTCAAGACTGATGACACCACACAAGTACTAGGAGGCTATGAGTTTATTGGTGTATTCTGTTAATGGAAGGAAATCTCAAGCAGGTTCAAAGCTGGCTTTAGAGAGCAAAGCAAGGGTGAGAGGCTGTGCATGTAGGGGTTGGCCTAGCTTGGGTTTTGTGCTGGCTCTAATAGAGGGAGTTTCCTGGCTAAGGCAGGAGGAGGTGAGGCTTAAAAGATGTCAATAGTTATGTCAGCTTGCACTGTAATGCAATGGCTGGACAGTCAACTTAGAAAAGATAGATTTTGGCTCAGTTTTGGAGGCTGCTGTCCATGGTCAGTTGGCTCCACTGTCTTGGGCCTGTAGCAAGGCAGCACATCATGGTGGGAGCATGTGGCAGAACCCAACTGCTCACCTCATGGGTGTGGGGCAAAAAAAGGAAGGGACTAGAGTTCTGCAATCCCCTTCCAAAAGCATGTGCCCAGTGATGTAGAACTCTCCCATTAGCTCCTGCCTGTTAGGGGTTTTCCTACCTTCCACAGCATCCCTATGGAGACCAAGCCTTTCATGTGAACCACTGGGGGCTGCTCAAGATCTAAACTAGCAGTAGCCAAACATTAAAACAATGGGATTCATGTTTGTTTGTTTGTTTGTTCAGGGTCTCACCACACAGCTCAGACTCATAGTGATACTCCTGTTTTCTGCCTCCCTAGTGCTGGGATTACAGGCATGTGCCACTACACCTGGCCTCCACTGCTCTCTCAGTGCACCCAGAGGTGGGGCTGGCACAGCATGTGGTGCCAGGAATCAAACCCAGGCCCCTGCGCTTAACTAAGCAAGTGCTTACCCACTGAGCTATCTTGCCGGCCCTGGAGTCACATTTTTTGTTATAAGGTCTGCACATATTCAGAATTTTTTGTCTTGGCATGTTGACAAGAATGGAACATCCTTTATTCCTCATAACATTCCTTGTTCTATAATTCCTTTAGGGGAACTGGTTCATGTGCACAACATAGCCCTAATTTTTTTACGACCCTATCCCCTCCATATTTTGTCTGAAATTAATGTAATAACCCCAGCTTGCTTTTTGATTAATGTTAGCATGGGTTTCTTTTCCATCTGTTTTCTTTTTCTTTTAAAAAATTATTTATCATAGGGCCGGTGAGATAGCTCAGCAGACTAATCGCCTGCTTAGGCAAGTGCGGGGACTGGGGTTCGATCCTTGGCACCAAATGCCGTGCTGGCCCTGCTCCTGGGATGCACTGAGCCGGTGACTGAGTCTGGGTATGGTGGCGTATGCCTGTAATCCCAGCATTGGGAGGCTTGAAAACAGGAGGATCACTACAAGTCCGAGCTGTGTAGTGAGACCCTGCACAAAATACAAAAACAAAACAAAACTAAAAAGAAAAAAAATAATTATCCTAAGAGTTACTGTTAAAGACAAATCAGAGTGTAACAATATGACTTAAATAGAAAGCTGTAGAGCAGAAGCTACACTAACACAAGGTTGGAAATGGAAGGTAAGGGCCAGAGAGATAGCTCAGTGGAATAAGCGCTTACCTGGCAAATGCAAGGGCCTGAGTTCAGTCCCTGGTTCTGCAAAAAAACAAAACAAAAAACAAAAAGAAATGAAAGGTAAAAGTACGTTTGTTTTGTATTTACATCTGTAAATATACAAATATAAAATTTACCAGATCTACCCTGTAGTGTAGCACTG